ATATATATATATTCAATTTTCAAAGTGTTTCAGTAAATAATTCTAGTTTTTAGGGCTAGAAAGCATTGCCCGTACATCCCAAGAGGAATTGGGACACCCTTTTCCTCATTGCAAAGTGTTAGTAGAGGTAGGGATTAAAGAAAAGGGGTAAAATTGAAATTAACCAAACTTTAAAACAGTACCTATGACAGGCAGGTGAGAAAATGGTATGTGAACAGTAAAATGTGCCAAATTACAGAAACATTTTTGAATTGAGATTAAGGTCAGAGGGCTGCCACAATTTGTTGATTAGACAATTGAGATCCAATTATTTCATTTGTCAGATTTAAAACATTAGATTAAAAAAATGAATTTGAAATTTCCTGTTTGGAGCAGCATTACGTGTAGATTGTAAATGACCTAACAAATCTTGTGGAAAGTTTTAACATATGTTTCAGTGATCTAATGCAGAAGAAGCGAAGAGTTCAGTTTTCTCACAAAGCAGTGTTTTTTTTTCCTCCCTTGTCCACTTTCTTACAGCTTTCGTCTCCTCGAGGCAAACGCTGGTTCTAAATGAAGTCTTAGTTTTCGCTGCCATCGTAGTTTCCCTAAATTTGCCACTTGATGTTATTACATGCTACCCACTGAACTTTATAAGCAGGGAAAAAGACTCATTTTAACATCCTCCCAAGCTTGCACTCTTGTTTGTGTACCAACTGATGAGATGGGATGTGGTGATCAGAGCCGATGTGAGCAGATGTGATCCATCTGAGGAGGCCATTGTTTCCAGTTTGGGATCACTGGCTGCAGTTTTCTCCTCAAGATGCTACAAAAAGCTGCTCAACTCAGAAGGCTCAGTGTTTGTTTGATCAAAGTGTTTGCTGATCATGAAAAGCACAGTGTATCTGACTGAAAATCACATGGTCAGTTCCACAGTCTTGTACGTCAGAGTCACATGGTTCAACTTAGGAGTTTGGCCTCGGGGGACCTTTTTAACGGTTTAGCAGCACCGAGCTGTGTTTGCATACAAAAGCATGCAGTCATGTCAGAGACACTGATGACTCATCGGCCTCAGGGGGATGTTGTGGCAATGAAAGAGAGAGAGTTAATAAAGTTAAAGAAGGAAAAAAAATGGACTCAAAGAAAAGGAAAAGCAGGAGGGAGAGGGGCTTTCACTGCTGCGCTAATGCAAAACAGGATGCCACTTCCTCAGAGAGGGAACATGAACTTGTGTGCTAACATGTGGTTGTTTGCATGTCACAACTGAAGGAAACGAAGCTCTATGAGTTTATAATTGTGCATGTGCTCTCAGTTTGTGTGTCTTATAGTATAGCAAAGGTAGCTAAAGCATTTCATGAGAACAGAATGTTCCGTGGAGCAACAGAAAGAGTTTGCATGCAGGAGGAGTTTTTTTTTCTTTCCCCCCTGAGCATGAACAGGATCTAACACACTCACACAGAGCTGGAGGAGTTGCATGAGATCAACGTTACCTCCCTCCCGCTCGCATGCATGTAAGCGCAAGTCTGTGAGAAAAATATCCTCACTCGTTTCCACATTCGCTGCCGTTACAATGAGCCACATGTGTTGTCACTCACGGACACACATCAGCAGAAATCCCACTCTGACGTGACACGTTGGTTAAAGTGGAACTTTGCACATTTTAAAGATTAAATCGCTCCGGCAAAGTTTAATCGTAAATCTCCTGAATGCTGAGAGACGTCTCGTTCATCCTGACTCATCACCCTCTCATTGTTTGAAATGCACGCTACAGTACATCTGCGATTAGGATGATGATTTTCAAAAAAATAAAAAATAATAAATAAAAAAGTTATGATGAAGTTGAATCAGGCACACCCACGCACGCGGTGTGATTCATTAAGGGCTRTAATTCTTGTTCAGCTTGGATGTAAAGGTGGCGTGTCTTTCAGCTTTAAAAGGCACAGGAAGTGAGTGGAACAAAGAACGCCTTATTAAATTAATGTCAGTTACCGTGCAGCTGTARGCCAGCATACACACATATTTGTTTGTGTGTGTGTGGAAGACTGAAAATTCACGCTCATGTGAAGTGTGCATGACAGTTTTTTTTAAAGATGTTTCTGAGAATGAAGAGTCGGGGTGTCACCAGTACATCTTGCCCTGCAGAGGATTTACGGTGTGATAGAAATACTTTAGATATTGTTCATGCTGGTTTTCCCCTTAAGGCTTCGCTGGCTCTGATACAATCTCACTCGGCAAGCAGAGGAACCTTTTGAAAACTCTCAGCAATGAAAGTTGTAATAGTGGATAAAAACACTGTTTTTATGCCAACCTAATAAAGAAAAGAGTTGCAGTTCTGAGGCCTTCCTATAAGTGAATGTTTTTAATTATCTCCCTTTAGACGTGCTTTGGCCACTTTCCAACCCATTATTGCACCCTTTTTTTACATGTATTGTTTTACCTAGAAAAAGAGCATCATTAAACGACAGTATAAATATTAGAAGGTGTTTTACTTGTAACATTTTWAAAAAGTACTGAACTGAACCAGGCTGCTGCTGAACTCATCTCAGCAAAGAGCACTCACGTGAAACAGGGGAATGTCACAGCACCATCCCAAACACACACACACACACCTCGTACACACAGCCAAGAAGAGAACACTTTCATTTTTCATTCTTCATTAGTGTGGAGCTGCAACACCTGCGCTGAGTTTGAGACTTCATTTAATGTTGGTGCAGGTCAGACGCGACCGGTGTAATCCATAACAGCAGGGATCAATCAAGGACAGGGTGTGGCTCGAAGCGTTGGTGTGTGAGTGTGTGGTGACTGTCATGTTTGACAATAAACACAACTCCAGACTCTATATCAAAATGAATTTATACTTTGTCCCTTTACTTTGAGCACAATAAAGGGGACACGTTTACAAAAAGCAATTTAGAGTTTTTGCCTCCCTTTCTGCTTCTGAAAATAAATGAAGRCTTTTTTTATGAGCAGCTTCTTTTTTGTAAGTTTGTATCTTACAGTAATAAATGCATCACTTTATTTGGTTACCCTCTTTTTTTTCTTTTTGCACAACTTTATTTTAATGTTACCACAGATGATGAGACTACTCCAGATCCAGAGGACGCCATGTCGGATGGAGAGGTCGACGTAACTCCTGATGCAGGCCCAGATGACACCAACCCAAATACTGTAAGATATAAAAATATTTTATATGAGACAAAACACAATGCTGTACATTATGAGATGACCAATCAATCAATCAATCAATCAATCAATCAATCAATCAATCAATCAATCAATCAATCAATCAATCAATCAATCAATCAATCAATCAAT